CGTGTACAGAACTACAAAAAAAAAAGAGACCCTGTCACCTGGCTCATTGAGGCCAAAGAGACAGAGCCTGCGTGCAGTCCCCCCACCACCACCAACCATTGTATACTTGCCTCTCCCAGGGCTCCCCCACTGCGGGTGCCACTTTTATAATACCCAGTGCCTCTGGGTATGGGGTAGCATGTGACCACCTCCCACGGTGCAATTTTTGGACCTAGCAGCCAATCACTAGGCCCAAGCACTGTCACATGACAGGAAGCGTAACGTCATGGCTCCCTCTGAGCAGATATTTTGGTGGCGATGGAAGAAGTGGCGGGGGTGCACTGGAGAGGCGACAGTAAAGTGGAAGGGCGAGGAGGCGGCGCCACATGAAGACTGATCTGACTATTCATAACAACACAAAACCAGTGAAGCCAGCGGGAGGGTATATGCAAACGTTGACTTTTTAAGAAGTCAAGCTTAGCCCTGCTCCTCCTGATTGGTCATCCCAGTCAGGTGCCAAAATGGAGGTGGAAGGGGCCAAGCTCACCTCTTCCAGACACTTGAGCCGCCATGTCTGTTTCCACAGGGGAGGACGAGGAATTCACGCTGAAGCTGATCAACCGGCCGATACTGGTGCTGCGCGGGGACCTGGGCTTCGTCTGCTACCATAAAACCTCCAACACGCTGGACGCAAACCGCTCGGGCTATGTGGAACCTCTTTCTCTCTCCTGTTTGTAAGAAGTGTTCCCAGCCACACCCACTGCAGTTGTTTCTCACACACACCACGTAGGATTTTCTTAGTTGCCAATCGGATTCATAGCGACCAGAGAGAGAGGAAGTCAAAGATTCAGGAAATGGAGCAACCCACCCCACATGTGGGGAGCTCGTATGTATCTATAGCAGCTCTGCCCTAAAGGGCCCGATTCATGTGAGTGCAAAGTTTACCCAAAACACAGCATGCAGGGCTTATACTAGAGACAGGTTCACTTTAAAGGAGAACTATGAGGGGGGGGGGGGCTTTACACTCACCTCATAGTTCTAGCCGACCTGTGACAATGAGACTGTAACAGGTCGGCTCAGTAGATCGGGAGGTGAGCAAACAGATACGGCGCTGACTGGTGGATCGGACAGGGGAGGGGGGGGGTACAGCTGGCTCTGCCTCTAGATAGGCAGAGCCAGCTGTCAGTCACGCAGCTGGGCGGATCCCGGCACAATTGTCGGGATCCGCTTCGGCTGCGGCGTCTCAGTTTACCGCGAGCTGTAGCTCCCTATATACTGAGCCTAGGGTGACGGGAGGACGCTAGTTTGTGTCCTCCCGTTACCCTAAGGAGAACTATGGGGGAAAGCCCTGACCCCATAGTTCTCCTTTAATGCTTTCCAAGCAGAACATACTCACCTTTCCTTCGCTCCCTTATCACTTGGTTGAGAAGCTGGAATCAGGGAAAATACAGAGTACTATTGGGAATGGAGGGGCAAGTGCTGGTGCTTAGTGATTGGCCCAGAGCTGTCAGGTGGGCGGAAACCTCACCCGTGTGTAAGCTCCCACTAGAGTGACTCAGAGCTTACACAGATAGGACTGACTTCCTTCACCCCCCGACGCAGAACAGTTGGGAATGGCGGCATTGAAGTGAACATGTGTATGGGCACAGCAGAGGTTCATGGAGAAGTGACCCAAAAATAAAACAAAGCTCAGCCTGCGACTGAATGCAATTAATACGGACCCGCCCCCCTGCCGATCTCCAACCGTAACCAATAACAAAGATCCGACCACCGTCCAACACTTCCAGGTGTAATGAATAGCTGCTCCCCCCGCTGAGCTCCGTGGTTCCACCCATCGCCCTCTTTGTTACTAATGTGTCCCCTGCAGACATAGGGGGTCAGCGGAAGGGATCACAGAGCTCAGAGGGGGACCAGGATTTCCATAGACCCGAAGTGTCGGATGCTGACCTTCCTTCAGGCATAGTTCTCCCATAGATCAGTGGCACGGGTGTCGGGGACCGGTGTTCTTTTACAGCCAACAACAACAAATGCTGTGTCATTTCATTGTAAGTGACAAGATCACTTTAAGGGCGACCCTTTTAAAGCCCATCTGCGGGCAAACCAATAAAACTGCCCTTGCAGTGAGGCTACCCCTTCGTGGCACGGGTTAAGTGAGCGTTTGTGCCGAGGGGACCAGTGTAAAGCGCATTTACTTACCTGATCTCCGCCCCCCCAGAACTCTCCTCTTTACCCCTGTCCCCCAACTTTGGCTGGTGGAATGTCCCTCGGTGTCCTCACATCTAATGCAGGCCTATGGGACCTACATTAGAGGTGATGACGTCAATAGTCCTTAGACCACTGGGACAGAGAAGCTGCGGGGACTGGTCTAGAAGCCTGGAGGGAGCTGGCGGGGCTAAGGTAAGACCCCCCTAGACCAGAGGTAGGCAACCTTGGCTCCCCAGCTGTGCTGAAACTGCAAATCCCATCATGCTTCTGCCTCTGGGAGTCATGCCTGTGGCTTGCAATGCCTTATGGGATTTGTATTTTCAGCACAGCTAGGTTGCCTACCCCTGCCCTAGACACAAATGAGGCCTTAACCCTTGCAGTGCCTGCCCGGAGATGAGCATTCTCGTGACGTCCGCTCCGAGCCGTAATCATTTGGTTTCTGTTACAGGTCAGGGCGGGAAGTTCTGGTACACATCCAGCAACGGCACAGTCTGCACGGACGGCGACATGTCCGAAGATTTCTTCTTCGAGTTCCGGGAGTACAACCGCGTGGCCATCAAGGGTAAAAACGGCAAATATCTACGCGGAGACCAGGCGGGCACACTGAGGGCCGACGCTGAGACGGCGAATGCCGCTACCCTATGGGAGTACTGACTGACCCCCCCTTCCAGTACAGCTTAGCTAGAGAGGACATTAGATGATTTGCTCGGAGGGTAAGGGGTCCGGGGAGGACACAGGTTAAGAGGTCTCCCCCCGAAAACATGCATGGGGAGAGGGGAGGCGCCTACCATGAGAGGCTTCAGGGCTCTGTGTACAGCGCGGGGGGGCAATTCACAATGGACTCGATGACCCTTTACAAACATCGCCCCGCTAGGATCACAGGAAACGCATGTCACCGTCTTATTACCATTTATTATGTTTAGTCTAGATGAAGAGATTTAGATTCTGTACATCTGTGGCCGTGCGTTCCGCGGACGCCTGCTCTACCTATAGAAAGGACGGCCATTAGCTAGGACAACTACGGCAGCCTCCGCACCATTACACGCAGGTCACACGCAGCTGCTCCGCCATGATGCCGGTACATGGGATGGAGACTTTTTTTATATATATATATTTAATTTATAAGGAGTTGCCGAGTTCACGAAATGATTCCAGTCCACGGAAAGCTCACCGGTCGCGCTTTGTCTGGCGTCCGGGCGATTTTTGCGTCCTCTCTGGACTGGTATTTGAAGACTGAATGGGAACGTTCCAGACATTTTTGGTGTAAATTTGGGAACATATTAAAAAAAAACAAAAAAAACACCCCTCAGTATAGATATGTACCCATTAAAAAATAAACAAAAATAAACATATTAAATTCTGTTAGTAAAACCGACTGAAATTGTTCTTTAATCTTCCCACAATCCCCTGCACACCGGATCGCGTAGGTTGGACCCCGTCACACAGGCAGGCTGGACACTAGGGTTGCCACCTGTCCAGGATTCACCCGGACAGTCCGGGTTTTGAATGCTCTGTTCGGGTTTCATGGCAGCAGAAACCCGGACACAAGATGTCAGGCAGGCAGGGGCAATCAAAATCAAGATAGGGGCTACTGGCCCCCCCACTAAAAATGGTCTCAACTGTGATATTTACATATGAATGGGCGGCGCTATTTACATATGTATAAGCCATGGCTCATCCTCCCAAAAAAATGTCTGCGCTTCGCTAGAGTGTTCGGGTTTCGCTTGAAGAAAAGGTGGCAGCCCTAGCTGCATCTCCGTTCACACTGGTGCCAACTTGACATGTTTTCAGGCACTGGGGGCTGAGGCGTATGGGCAGCTCACTGAAAGGGGCTGAAAAATGATTCCAGTAAGCGGCAGGCAGCAGAGGGAGATGCAGTAGTGGTCTATCACAACGGGGATGCAGGTGATGCACAATGATTATGTAGTACCCTTGAGCAGAAAGCAGGGCCTGTCTATATAATGAGGGAGCAGGGCTGGCCTATGTAATGAGGGAGCAGGGCCGGCCTATGTAATGAGGAAGCAGGGCCTGTCTATATAATGAGGAAGCAGGGCTGGCCTATGTAATGAGGGAGCAGGGCTGGCCTATGTAATGAGGGAGCAGGGCCGGCCTATGTAATGAGAAAGCAGGGCCTGTCTATATAATGAGGAAGCAGGGCCTGCCTATGTGATGAGGGAGCAGGGCCTGTCTATGTGATGAGGGAGCAGGGCCTGTCTATGTGATGAGGGAGCAGGGCCTGTCTATATAATGAGGAAGCAGGGCCTGTCTATATAATGAGGAAGCAGGGCCGGCCTATGTAATGAGGGAGCAGGGCCGGCCTATGTAATGAGGGAGCAGGGCCGGCCTATGTAATGAGGGAGCAGGGCCGGCCTATGTAATGAGGGAGCAGGGCCTGCCTATGTAATGAGGGAGCAGGGCCGGCCTATGTAATGAGGGAGCAGGGCCTGTCTATATAATGAGGAAGCAGGGCCGGCCTATGTAATGAGGGAGCAGGGCTGGCCTATGTAATGAGGGAGCAGGGCCGGCCTATGTAATGAGGAAGCAGGGCCTGCCTATGTAAAGAGAAAGCAGGGCCTGCCTATGTAATGAGGAAGCAGGGCCGGCCTATGTAATGAGGAAGCAGGGCCTGCCTATGTAATGAGGAAGCAGGGCCTGCCTATGTAATGAGGAAGCAGGGCCGGCCTATGTAATGAGGAAGCAGGGCC